CTCATGAATAACGCGGGATATATGCGAAATCTCCCGAAAACGAGGATGATAACCAATAACGCGGAAAATTCCGAGTCCGCGGAATCGCGGTATCCTGTGGGGACAGATAAACAGTAAATACATTAGGGAGGTTTCGCTTTACGGAATTACGGATGAAAATAACGTAGGAACTGCACGTCATTTTCATAAGTAAAAATCAGAGCTGTTGGGTTGTGCCGAGAGTACATAACCCAGGGAACACGATAACGGTCGGACATCGGACATTTTCCGACCATTTTCGGTTTGAATCCGGCGCTTTTTTACTTGAACGGACAAACTGTCCGACCGAAATTCAGAAATGGCGTCGTTGGGGAAGAGAAAGGCTGACGACAATGGCGCTCCACCTGGGAAGAAGTCCCGCGGAGTTAGAGCAGCTACTTGTGAAAAGTGGGTTTCGCAGTATCACGCCAGTATGACAAGGAGCTGTCCACTTCAGTTTGGCTCCAGTTTGAGCGTAGTAGAGGAGATCGAGAAGTAGCAGAAGTGTTGAAATGTAAACTTTGCTCTCGCTTTTTTGGAGAAGCTGAGAAGTTCAAAAAACATTTCCGAGTCGTTTGTTACAGGATCCAAAAAATTGAAAACGTCCGCGTTCAAGGACCACGCCGCTTCAGAAATGCACCAGCGTGCGATGTGCCTGTATCGAAAGGAGCAGTCCTCGGGCAACGCTATTGAATACGCTCCTATCGCACAGGCTCTGTGCAAGATCGACGAGGCAACTGCTGCGAATGTTGGACGAAAGTTCGACATCGCGTACGTGCTTTGCAAAGAACACATCGCTTTCGCGAAGATGGGAGCGTTCTGCCAACTCGAGGAGCGACATGGTGTCGATCTTGGAACTGGAAACAAGAACGAACAAGCGTGTGCCACTTTCGCGGACTACACCAGTCACCTGGTCACCGTGCCTGCAGGGTACAACTTGCTAGCCTGTTTGACCTTTTTTGGGTGCAGTCCTGTCACTCGAGTTGGACCTTGGTGTTAGTTGTCGCCTGCTGGCGTGGTGACCAGGTGATTTGGGCACCCAGGAGCACGTGACCACTTGTTCAACCATGTTCGATTGGGAATAAAGGAGGAACGCTGCATCGCAGCCTTTTCGGACCAAAACCAGTCGACTCAGCGCAGTCACCCAGTTTCGGTGGAAGTGCGCGAGTTCGATTGGGATTCAAGTAGGAAGGGAGCGTCTCAGCTTTCTCGGACCAAGACCATTCGACTCAGCACCCCGAAGACTACAACTGGTGAAATTTTAATTTTTGCCTTAACTTCCCCTTTAATGCGTGCTGTGCGCATATTACCCATGCTAATACGGAGGGGCCATTTTCAGCCGATCATAAGCCGCTATTCCCTTCTTGCTGGCGTAGCACACACTTCATACCGAGTACAAGCTGTCGTCGGCACTGTGCATATAGTGACATGTTATACCGTATTTCCCCGAATATAAGTCGCACCTTTGTACACCTAACATCAGGGCCAACAAAGGGGGCGGGGGGGGGGGTGACTTACAATCGTGCATGATTTACTACTGAAGTGAATATATTGAAACGATGTGACATGGATCCGGAAATGGGGGTGCGACTTACAAACGGGGGAATACGGTAGCTTTGAACAGTGCTTTCATAGCCACCAGTGCTCACCTGACAGATTATGAACACGGCGATGTTGTAACGTTAGCACTTATGCAATAGACGAGAAAAAGGCTCAGTGCAACAAAAATGAAATGGGGGAGGTAACATTAGCGAGAAATATGTCCAAAACTGCCATGCTGTAATACTGCTAGGGCGTGTTGGTAGTGTATATCGCTTTATACTTTTCTTCAATAGTTGTAATTCGCCATTGCATCCATTACTGTAAGACATGTATATATAACGAGGAAGCAAATCTAACGTTTTAACGGATGACATTTCTTCGTTGTAATAAGATCCGTTGAGGCCGTACTGCTTCATATAATGTTGTGTGTGGATATGCCGGAATACTGCAAGATCGTTAACATATCTTCTCGTTAACCTACGAATTTTGGACAATCGTTAAATTTGTGATTCGTTATAATAACATGTCTAACAGTAGTGTAGTGAACACTTCCTAAGGAGCGTTATGCTAAAACTAGTTCGAAGTTCTCTTTTGTCCTTGTTCAGTTATATGCATCCCTTTCCCTGGTTTAGTCCTTCTCTTGTTCATAACATCTATGGTTCATCATCTTTCTGTTCGTTATCCGATAAAACATTCGTGATAATGTTGATGCATCTGGTACTGTTGTTTGCAATTTTATCAATTTATGTGATTGTTGCTGCGTAACCTGTATTCTGCAGAAGCGCTTGCCACTAGCTATGCTTGGAAGACCTCTATCATCAAAAGTTTTGATGTGACTGCAACCATAAAAGGATACAGTTCTGTCAAACTTTATTCTGAGAGACTCCTCGAGTGTGCGAGATTTACAGTTACAGTATCCCGGGGTAAACAGGTTCCCGTCAAGGATAGAGTGATACGTCTATTTAAAAACCAAGCTCTCATTTCCAATGGTGACCAGTCGGTTAGGCTGTATCTGTTCAGGAATGCTACATCGCAGCAAGATGTAGCCTATGTGTGCTTCCCTTACGCGGAGGAAAGCCGTACATCTGGCACCTATCACTTAACAGTGAACTATCTCAATCAGCATACCACTTACTCTTACGTGGAGCGAACAGTGCTCCACTCGTTCAATGTTACTGTCACGCAAGAAGAGCCTCCAACAATAGGTAAGAAGGGTAGGCATGCTTCATAAAAATATTCCATACATACCATTGGCCAACATACGTGTGTGCCAGAACTCATGCAGTATTGTGCATTCTGGAGAGTAGGGGTTAAAAAACACATTAAAAAACACATTCCTGCTTCAAATTAACATGTAAAAATACAGTCGACTCCTCATGATTATAAAGAACACCATTGCACAGGACACTTAGTTCGAAGCTGAAGTTCTTTATAACATGAATGCACTGCACTTACACCTTCTAGCAACATAATCATGACTGGTATTTGACCTGTGACAGTACATGTATTAGTGTGGCATTACAACATATGGTTCGCTATAAACAAACTCTGCTCGGTACAAAGGGTCAATTTTTCCTCAGTTCAAACAGAGGTTCTGACGATGGGTGACTGGCCCGAAACGTCATAACGTTTTCGACATCACGTATAAAGAATTTTTCATCCACCGCATGCGCCAAGTGTTAATAGCAACTGAATAGAGCGGTTGTCAGTTGACAAACCCCCTTTTTTTATAATGCAGTTGCGTGGTGTCCACCACTTTCTTAGTCAAACAGGGACATGGACAAATTCAATGGTTTGTTATAATCCTGAAATTCACTATGTGCGAGTTGGCTATAAGTGGAGTTGACTGTATTACATAAATTTAGATCACAGTGGAGCTTCCCCTTTCTTTTTTTATTATAGAAGTTGAGCCTCCCAATTTGGGGTCTATGTTGCTTTGTAGTAAGACTGGTATGTCCAATTGTCTAAGGGGTCGTCTCAAAAGTTTTTTTGTCCTCCCTGAAACGATCGTTCATTTTGTACTAAGGCCCCTCTCCTCCCTTTGAAATGAATGCAGCTTGCTGTACTGGACAACGAAAATTGCATGCACGTACACGTACATGTATATGTATAGTGTTGGTCGACTTGCAATTTTGGTTCGCACCCCTCCCCGAATGATGTTCATTTTCAGGGACGACAATTTTTTTACGACGACCCCTAACTAGTTTTGTCATCATCCTTGGCATTCTTTGTTGCCGGGGGACATAGTCGTGCTCATCTTCGCTGCGCTTTCCTTCCCCTGATTGTTTGTACTTTTCCTAACCTGAGCCTTCCAAGTTGTAAAGTTGTTGGTTTGTGCGTCGTAGTAGCAGTAGTAGTACTACTACTACTACCGTAAAGTACCGCCAGAGCGCCCCATCTCGCAAGAGCGCCCCACCTTGATTTTACAGCCAGAGAAAGGAAAATCGTATGGCAGAGTGCAACGAAGTGTGTACAATGTGAGAATCTCAGTGTACTAAGGTCACACTTGGCAGGTTTTTGTGTGGAGCTTGTGTCCGCTTGAAGGTACGGATTGACTGCAAAACGTGGAATATGTGTACAAGGTTCATGTCGTATGACCTACAAACAGCAGACCACCTGCACAATACGACCACGAAAGGATGAGATGGTGGGGCGCTCTGGCGGTACTTTACAGTACCACTACTAAGAGGCTAAGGGGTATGTGCAGCTCCAGCCCGGGCTGGTCGACAGGCGGGCCAGCCCGCCTGCAACGGGATCTCGGGGTTGTACACAAATGCACACAAAACCTGTGGTGCGTTTATATGGCAAGCGGGCTGGCCCGGCGAGGCGGGATCCCGCCCCGAGCCACCCGGGATCCCGGCTAGGCGGGCCAGAAAAAGCACATATAAACAGACCAGCCCGGGCCAGAGTTGTATTATTATGGTGTCTACACTGCGTTCATGCTACAAAATAGGTACTTTTACCTTTTGAGGGAAGTTATAAAGAGGATTCCCGATATTGTCTTGAAAATCTATGAAGCTTTTTGTACAGCAACAAGAAGGACGTGCAGTGAGCACTGTTTATTTGTCGACATGCATGATTTACATTAAATAAGAAGGGCAAGTACGAGGTGATTTGGCTTTTTTTTTTTAACATTTTGGCATTTTTTAACAAATGTGTAAAATTTGCTTTTCTTCGGGCTGTTTCTCTGCTCCGGATGGCTGTATCGAAACATGGGTGGTGGCAAATGAGAGCCAATTTATCGTAGATTCACATTGACCAGAAAATTTGGTGCATATCATTTAATTCTCCCTGCCACGTTGGTATAACTAGTGGTGGGTGCTTTGCCATTTTGTGTAAAATGTGTAAAATGAGCCCCTGAATGGACGAGGAGGGCAGTGAATTGCTTCCGCAGGGCCTTTGGACGACGTCAGGCCATCTTGCCATCACTAGAGACAGTAATGAAGAACAGTAGGTCACTGAATACACTCTGTGAGAACGAAAACATCGCTGCGATGCTGTGCTATCTATCCAATTCCACCGTATAACACAGCCACTAGTTACAAATACAAAAACACGGCTTTCGCAGCATACAATGCAGTTCACTCCTCTGTTGACAGATTAATTTTCATCCACTAGCAATCCTTGAAGTGATATCTATCAACTTCAGAACATTGATGACCGAATATCCCAGTTTGTGATGCCATTTTACAAATTTGTTAAAAAATGACACACCAATTATTTGAATCCTGAGAATACTATGAAAGTAGGATATGATTGAAGACACTTTCCAAAGTGGGATCATTCCCATTTTTGGACACAACGGGCATGAAGGATAGCACTTCCACTTGCAACAATTCATTTGGACGTAGCTTGTCTAGAAGTGACTGAAAAAACGTCTTTTTACAACCATGTTAAAAAAGCCAAACCACCTCGTACTTGCAAAATACTTTGATATGGACGGCTAAAAATGTGAAAAAAAGAAAAAAGAAATGAGGTGATACACCACACCAAACATGTGCCACAGCGCGAAAAGAAATTAGCAGAAGAATACATTGTGTGAGAAAAAAGTTTTTAGGTTTTTAACCTGAGTATGGCTTGCAGCCCTGCGTTTCAGCCCGGGGCAGCACACTACAGTCGTAGTGTGTTTGCTGCATACTCACAACGGGCTGGCGTGTGCTCAGCGCATATAAACTCACTGCGGGCTGGCGACCAGCCCGGCCTTGCACATGTAAACACCCTTTGCGGGCTGGCCCGCTCGCTCCAGCCCGGGCTGGAGTTGCACATATATTAGACCCCTAAGAGGCTTCGGTAGTAGTAGTATTTTTTATTTTACTAGGGAAATCTCCACAGCCTGTAAGTCTTTTTACAGGGTACCCTAGGTAAGTGCGTGAAATAGTGCTGAATGAAGAAAACCGTAAGCGCAAGAAATAGAGTGAACCAAAACGGTGGCTGCATACTATGCGGCCATTTTGTATTGCAAAAGAGGCTGAGTAGAAGAGTGGCTGACATAAAAACATATTCCGCCGCCTTGCTGGCTAGTCCTGTCAGATCTAAGAATAGAGTAGCCAGGTATTGCAACTAGGGCATCGCTTATCTCGTAAATGTGCTGGAGCTAGGTGTCACATCGTTGAATGTCTCAGTACTCCCTGTCAGTTTTGTACCTTGTTGTCAGAATCTCTGACTTTGTATGATCTCGTTCCTTTGGTGGACATTTAGTCATAAAGATGAAAATGTCTTATCTCATATTGTAAAATGTCGTTCTTCCCTTTTATCCATGATTACATTGGCTCACTGTCCGAATTCAAGTTTAGGATTCTAGTACGTCCTTTACATTTTAAAAAGGAAAGAACTTCAACTTCCTCTGTCGAGCTATTCTCCATCTGTGCTTATTCTCTACTGTTTTCATGCGCAGAGGGAAAAACCAGCACCATGCCGCCAGTGGATTTCCCACTTCTACGTGAGTAGTAGTGGTACTGAGTGTAGCTGACAGTGAGACAGCACAATACTGATAACGTGAACTTCCGTTCGCTGAACATAAACCTATGAATTATGATTAAATTCAGATGGCTAGAGCATTGCTCGTGATGAGCAGGGTGCAGGTTCAAGTCGGGGTGCATGAGTTTGGCATTGTTTCACTTTTCTGGCAAATCGCTTCCCCGACTCGTTTACATTGAAATAGTATCTCTCACGTTCCATTAAAGTGAACACCACTGCATCGGTTTGTACTCTATACCCTTACACTGTGAAACGGGAGACCTTTGTTCCAGCTTCAGTTGGTGATTTGCGAGCATAGACCATTTGCAACTGGAAATGTTTCCTTAGTTGGAAATGTTTCCTTATCTCTTTGTCTGTCACCAGTTAATCCCATATATAGGATTAGACTTCAAGACGCATTTGCCGCCTCGAAAATGGTCGATGTGTGAAGCAATGTTATTGAAGATGCATTTTGATCTTTCCCACAATGCTGCTGCTGCTGGTGCTAGGATTCGTGCAAGGTGACTTCGCTCCATCACAGACGTGTGACCCAGCGTTGTCGTCATACGCTGATATCCAGTCATGGCGCCAAGACAAACTGCCTGGTAAGCAATAGTACTTTATCGGATAAGGACAAGAAGGTCGTCCATGTGTATACGTACAATGTAGATAACACTAGGCTGTGTTTACATGCGAATTGTAAACCCGGGTTGAAAGTCTGTATGGCGGAAAAATAGGTGGGTGTTTACATGACGAGTGTTAACCCGGGTCTGACCGTCAATTACTGATAATTATGCTGACAAAAGTGCACTTCTAGGGTCCTGTATGGTCACGTGATTGCTTTCGTGAAACATTTGCGTGTGCACTAAATTGGCGCGAGATATGCACTGAAGTACCGTAATATGATTTCTTCATTTCAAACCTCTCCTTGGAGAAGATTGAAATTTCAACCCGAGTCCGGCATCATGTAAAAGCGCCAGTCAATCTGTGTTCATGGCGGGTTGAAACTCGACCCGGGTCGAGCTCCAATTCGGATTGAAGCGCCTCGTGTAAACGCAGCTTAAGTGTTCACTGATGATACATGTCTGTCCGAGCACTGTCGACCTTTCTCTATTGCTCCTATATTGTAGGCTTCCCGTGTCGAGTACTGCAGTGCTGGCAACTGAAATCCGACGCCTGAGCGGTGCGTTCACATTCTAGCGGTCTCTATTTCGTAGTGTTACTTACAATCCCGTGTTGGGTGTTTGCGACGTGAGCGTACCGCTCAGTGGTCGGATTTCAGTTGTCAGCACTGTAGTATCCTTGATCCACAGCACTTTTCGGTACAAGCATCTGAAATGTGTTTCGCAACCGTGTGATACGCAATGTGCAGCACAATCCAAGCAGAATGGAGAGTATGGCACAAGGAATTCATGTTGATTTAATCATGCACAATATCAGATTCTGTTGCTTGTTGTTCATCCAGTGTCAACCCATGCTGTGTATCAACGGGTTGTGCTATTCAATACTTATCTTCCTGAACTGTTCGCTTACGAGACAGTGTCACCAAATTCACCCCACAATCCAGATTGTGTCAGTGACCTACCAGAATGCACCTATGGACTTAAGCAGCTGCAAATAACTCAAAAGCCATTGCAGATGTTGATGAACTTAGACGGCACAGCATCACAGAGTTGGTGTGCAAAGCTAACGGATTATGGTCGTGGTGTATACGGACCATCCTCTGCTGACACTTTTGAGTCCATGGACTTGGGAACTACCAATGTTTTCATCCTGAGGCGGCCATTTGGTGACATCCCGGTGTTCTGGTACAAAATAAGAAACATCACAAGACCAGGTATGGTATTTAGCCTTGTGTGTGTGTGTGTGTGTGTGTGTGTGTGTGTGTGTGTGTGCGTGCGCGTGTGAGTGTGTGTGTATGTGTGTGCACGTGTGTGTAAGTGTGTGTGCACGTGTGTGTGCGTGCGTGTGTAGGTGTGTGTGTGTGTGTGTGTGTGTATGTGTGCATGTAATCAGTAATACCGGTACTTAAGCAGTATCTACTTACACACTGTGGACACTACGTCATACCAAAGAGTATTATAACCCCCAAGAGTGTGCAACTCCAGCTATGGGGTCTGCGACTGCAGAACTTCACATCACGTGATGAACCCGTACACATTTTTTGCACTCTGTGCATGATAGATACAGGGTTGTATGCAAACCAGCTCGGGGCTCAACTCTCTTGTGGTCACTTTGCACTGTTTGCCAGCGTAACCGTTTGAACCATGTCACTTGATGTGAAGTTCTGTCGTCGCAGCACAGCATAGAGGTTGTGCAGGCAGTTGCACACTCTTGGGGGTTATGTACTCTTGGTAAGGCCAAGTAAAAAAAAAAGGAAGATTGTTGATCGTCAGAATTTTCCGAAAAATCGGGGCAGACGGGAGGGTTGTATTTTTATTTTATAACTTTTTTTATATCTACATCGACCGGACATTTTGAAATCTTAGCATGTATTACATCTATGGGGATATGGGTGTACTACCATTGTTGGTTGTGACTGCTACCAGTCTGCCTGGGCACACTTTGAACATGTGCAGATTACTCTGTGATACGCGGCGGCTGCGCAGTTTCCATGAATGCAGGCGTAGATATCAGGTGGTACACTGTACAGACTACAGTGCCATGTATTGTAGTTGCCAGATTTCACACAAGTACACTGGAATCACACTGCACTGCGTGATGTCGCTACGGTAAAAGCACGTTGAAGTTGTACATGAGAGCTCGCATACGCTCGTACTGCTAAAAAAAGTTCAGATTTCGCTAAACACACGAGTTTTCTACCGTTGATCACGAAAATAAAAAATAATAAATCCCGGGACGGACTGAAAAATCGGGGCGGGCGCTGACGATCAACAATCAATTATTTTTACTTGGCCTAGGCCATGTAAAATATATTGATTATTTATCGTCAGATTTTCCCGAGAAATCGGGCCGGGCGGGAGTTATTTTATTTTTTATGTTTGCATATATTGCTGTATGGTAGGTGTTGGCAACCCCTAGGCATGCCTTTTCCTTCACATATTCTTTTTGAAGCCATTCTACACAGAGTGAGATAAATCTATGTGATGCAAATGAGTCGTTAGCCACGAATAACATCTTGCAAGATATTTTGAGGATGCAAATAAGGAAAAGTGAAACAACCAACGTAGAACAACAAAGAAAAGCAGGCAGCTGATAATCTCTTTCACTTTTCAGCCTGTAGCACCTACATGTGTGGTTCAACCTGCAGGCTTGGCCTTCCAAGATCTAGAGTCACGTTGATTAGAGGCCATAGGCGTAGATCGCAGCACATACAGTATATTTAGCGGAATTAAAAAGTCAAATAATTCGGCCGGGAGGGCGAAAATTATAGGGCGGGCGCTGACGATAAACAATCAGTTTTTTTACTTGGCCTAATGTCGAATAACACCACCAGTTACTAAACAATCAGCTCGTGCAATATTGCAAGACACTTACCGACGGTACTGGCGTTCTACAACTAACTGGCTAGCACATCTTGGATGCGCACTCCAACAGCCTTCCGACTTGGAAAGTTCTAAGTTCTATGATAACATAGGAGGGGAGGGTGAGCGCAACCAAGAAAAGCACGAGCTGAAAGTCTCAGCTGTGAAGGACGTCGGCAGATGTACATGCATGTCGATGACGATACTGGAAAGACCATTGGACAATATGGTCAAATCACGATTCTAGGATGCAAAGCAACATTCCACACAACTTGTGTGGCTCAAAAATGCAAAGATCATTTGTATTATTGTAGTTCCTTGGTCCTTTTCTTTTCTAGAAGTAGACATTTGTTATGATTTAATGCGTGCTGTGCGCATATTTCCCATGCTAATACGGAGGGGCCATTTTCAGCCGATCATAAACCGCTATTCCCTTCTTGCTGGCGTAGCACACACTTCATACTGAGTACAAGCTGTCGTCGGCACTGTGCATATAGTGACATGTTGTACCGTATTTCCCCGAATATAAGTGGCACCTTTGTACACCTAACATCAGGGCCAACAAAGGGGGAGGGGGGGGGGTGACTTACATTAGTGCATGATTTACTACCGAAGTGAATAATTATATTGAAACGATGTGACATGGATCCGGAAATGGGGGTGCAACTTACAAACGGGGAAATACGGTAGCTTTGAACAGTGCTTTCATAGCCACCAGTGCTCACCTGACAGATTATGAACACGGCGACGTTGTGGCGTTAGCACATATGCAACAGACAAGGAAGGCTCAGTGCAACAAAAATGCACTGGGGGAGATAACATTAACGAGAACTATGTCCAAAACTGCCATGCAGTAATTCTGCTAGGGCATGTTGGTAGTGTACATATCGCTCTATACTTTTCTTCAATAGTAGTAATTTGCCATTGCATCCATTAGTGTTACGAACACTTCCTAAGGAGCGTTATGCTAAAATTAGTATGAAGTTCTCTTTTGTCCTTGCTCAGTTATATGCATCCCTTTCCCTGGTTTAGTCCTTCTCTTGTTCATAATATCTATGGTTCATCATCTTTCTGCTCGTTATCCGATAAAACATTCGTGATAATGTTGATGCATCTGGTACTGTTGTTTGCAATTTTATCAATTTATGTAATTGTTGCTGCGTAACCTGTATTCTGCAGAAGCGGTTGCCACTATCAATGCTTGGAAGACCTCTACCATCAAAGGTCTTGATGTGAATGCAACCATAAAAGGATACAGTTCTGTCAAACTTTATTCTGATAGACTCCTCGAGTGTGCGAGATTTACAGTTACAGTATCCGGCGGTAAACAGGTTCCCGTCAAGGATAGAGTGATACGTCTATTTAAAAACCAAGCTCTCATTTCCAATGGTGACCAGTCGGTTAAGCTGTATCTGTTCAGGAATGCTACATCGCAGCAAGACGTGGCCTATGTGTGTTTCCTTTACCCGGAGGAAAGCCGTACATCTGGCACCTATCACTTAACAGTGAACTATCTCAATCAGCATACCACTTACTCTCACGTGGAGCAAACAGTGCTCCACTCGTTCAATGTTGCTGTCACGCAAGAAGAGCCTCCAACAATAGGTAAGAAGGGTAGGCATGCTTCATAAAAATATTCCATAAATACCATTGGCCAACATACGTGTGTGCCAGAACTCATGCAGTATTGTGCTTTCTGGAGAGTAGGGGGTTAAAAACACATTAAAAAACACATTAAAAACACATTCCTGCTTCAAATTAACATGTACAAATAAAGAACACCATTGCACAGGAAACTTAGTTCGAAGCTGAAGTTCTTCATAACATGAATGCACTGCACTTACACCTTCTAGAAACATAATCATGACTGGTATTTGACCTGTGACAGTACATGTATTAGTGTGGCATTACAACATATGGTTCGCTATAAACAAACTCTGCTCAGTACAAAGGGTCAATTTTTCCTCAGTTCAAACAGAGGTTCTGACGATGGGTGACTGGCCCGAAACGTCATAACGTTTTCGACATCACGTATAAAGAATTTTTCATCCACCGCATGCGCCAAGTGTTAATAGCAACTGAATAGAGCGGTTGTCAGTTGACAAACCCCCTTTTTTTATAATGCAGTTGCGTGGTGTCCACCACTTTCTTAGTCAAACAGGGACATGGACAAATTCAATGGTTTGTTATAATCCTGAAATTCACTATGTGCGAGTTGGCTATACGTGGAGTTGACTGTATTACATAAATTTAGATCACAGTGGAGCTTCGCCTTTCTTTTTTTATTACAGAAGTTGAGCCTCCCAATTTGGGGTCTCTGTTGCTTTGTAGTAAGACTGGTATGTCCAATTGTCTAAGGGGTCGTCTCAAAAGTTATTTTGTCCTCCCTGAAACGATCGTTCATTTTGTACTAAGGCCCCTCTCCTCCCTTTGAAATGAATGCAGCTTGCTGTACTGGACAACGAAAATTGCATGCACGTACACATACATATATGAGCCCCAGCCAGCAGAAACCTGAACATGTGTAATTTTTTCAAAAATTATTTTTTCCCTCCAAATTGTTTCTACACTATTAATCATTCAAGTTATCAAGTTTGATGACAATCTGATAAGCGAAAGCATGGAAAATAGAGTTTGAAGTCACACAGGTCAAGATTCCGTACAGTTGGCGCAGCATCCATGCCTAGTGATTCCATGCAAGTTGATCCTACAGTTTCTGATTGTGATGTGGAACAGGTACATGTAAGTAAATAGAATGCAAATCAGGCTTGCCCTCTTGGTGCTGCAGGCATGAGTTGTTCAGAAGTGTGACGATATTCCGTATACATCACTACCTTCTTTACAACACCAGAGTGCAAAACGATGATTGGTGGCTGGCCTTCCAAATTGTGTTCAGGGACCTCTGTGCTGGTAGTTTGAGCGTTGTGACAAAGCTTGCCATACTGATAGATGTGCTCACCAATACCACAGACATCCACTCTCTTGCACACTTTCACTCAGACCATGATTTCAGCATAATTGTATTTCAATGATATGAGCGAATACTCGCGTTTTGTAGCACGTGAAGATGTTGCCCGAAAGCGTTCAGCCGGTTTGAGTTTTTAGGTATCCCCTTTCTCAGCACAGGCAGCAGCCAGCTTGGCGTCATCTGGCAAGGTAGAGTACTGATAATACTACGCTCTGTTTTGCGCCGTGAGAAGCCCTCCATCAGTGTCTGCAGCATCATTGTTGTCGATGTAGAAATACGGATCGCTCAGCGGGACGACATTCTGCTTCTCCTCGCAGTCGCTATTACTCCAGCACTGACTATCGTCGCCACCAGTATCCAGTGTCGATTTTATGAGGGCTCCTCGTTGCTATGCATATGAGACTCGCCACTGCTGGACAAGCTCAGCAAGATCGCCACCAAACAAATAATTCCGATCGCGAACTAACTTTCAGCGCCGCTCCGTACAGGGAGTCTCGCGCTGACAACTCTGGACCTAAGTCTTTGTCGCGACACCTGTCGCCATCGCTGTGTCTAAACTCAACCTCCGTGTGACGAGCTCTCACCTAGCGCTAAAATCAATTGACCAGAGACATTTGAAGACACTTGAAACTCCTTTGACAACAAAGACACCCACTCGATCGAAAAAGAATCTTCAAAAGCCAGCTCACTGCGCGTCCCCAACTTTGACGTCACATTTTGATGATTGATATCAAGTACACAAGTGCTGGTTTTCGCTGGCCGGGGCTCATATATGTATAGTGTTGGTCGACTTGCAATTTTGGTTCACACCCCTCCCCGAATGATGTTCATTTCAGGGACGACAATTCTTTTACGACGACCCCTAACTAGTCTTGTCATCATCCTTGGCATTCTTTGTTGCCGGGGGACATAGTCGTGCTCATCTTCGCTGCGCTTTCCTTCCCCTGATTGTTTGTACTTTTCCTAACCTGAGCCTTCCAAGTTGTAAAGTTGTTGGTTTGTGCGTCGTAGTAGCAGTAGTAGTAGTACTACTACCGTGAAGTACCGCCAGAGCGCCCCGTCTTGCAAGAGCGCCCCGTCTTGCAAGAGCGCCCCACCTTGATTTTACAGCCAGAGAAAGGAAAATCGTATGGCAGAGTGCAACCAAGTGTGTACAATGTGAGAATCTCAGTGTACTAAGGTCACACTTGGCAGGTTTTTGTGTGGAGCTTGTGTCCGCTTGAAGGTACGGATTGACTGCAAAACATGCAATATGTGTACAAGGTTCATGTCGTATGACCTACAGACAGCAGACCACCTGCACAATATGACCACGAAAGGATGAGATGGTGGGGCGCTCTGGGGGTACTTTACGGTACCACTACTAAGAGGCTAAGAGGCTTCAGTAGGAGTAGTATTTTTTATTTTACTAGGGAAATCTCCACAGCCTGTAAGTCTTTTACAGGGTACCCTAGGTAAGTGCGTGAAATAGTGCTGAATGAAGAAAACCGTAAGCGCAAGAAATAGAGTGAAGCAAAACAGTGGCTGCATACTATGCGGCCATTTTGTATTGCAAAAGAGGCTGAGTAGAAGAGTGGCTGACATAAAACATATTCCGCCGCCTTGCTGGCTAGTCCTGTCAGATCTAAGAATAGAGTAGCCAGGTATTGCAACTAGGGCATCGCTTATCTCGTAAATGTGCTGGAGCTAGGTGTCACATCGTTGAATGTCTCAGTACTCCCTGTCAGTTTTGTACCTTGTTGTCAGAATCTCTGACTTTGTATGATCTCGTTCCTTTGGTGGACATTTAGTCATAAAGATGAAAATGTCTTATCTCATATTGTAAAATGTCGTTCTTCCCTTTTATCCATGATTACATTGGCTCACTGTCCGAATTCAAGTTTAGGATTCTAGTACGTCCTTTACATTTTAAAAAGGAAAGAATTTCAACTTCCTCTGTCGAGCTATTCTCCATCTGTGCTTATTCTCTACTGTTTTCATGCGCAGAGGGAAAAACCAGCACCATGCCGCCAGTGGATTTCCCACTTCTACGTGAGTAGTAGTACTGAGTGTAGCTGACAGTGAGACAGCACAATACTGATAACGTGAACTTCCGTTCGCTGAACATAAACCTATGAATTATGATTAAATTCAGATGGCTAGAGCATTGCTCGTGATGAGCAGGGTGCAGGTTCAAGTCGGGGTGCATGAGTTTGGCATTGTTTCACTTTTCTGGCAAATCGCTTCCCCGACTCGTTTACATTGAAATAGTAGCTCTCACATTCCATTAAAGTGAACACCACTGCATCGGTTTGTACTCTATACCCTTACACTGTGAAACGGGAGACCTTTGTTCCAGCTTCAGTTGGTGATTTGCGAGCATAGACCATTTGCAACTGGAAATGTTTCCTTAGTTGGAAATGTTTCCTTATCTCTTTGTCTGTCACCAGTTAATCCCATATATAGGATTAGACTTCAAGACGCATTTGCCGCCTCGAAAATGGTCGATGTGTGAAGCAATGTTATTGAAGATGCATCTTGATCTTGATCTTTCCCACAATGCCTCTCCTTATTTAAAATGAATGAATAGAGGTTACTCACTGGCTAAGACTCCCAGGAAAGGTATCTGTGTTCAATTATTGCTGATGAATTGCAATTACAAGTGGTAGAAATAGACTAGCAGTGGAATAGATGAATATTAGCACCATCCTAGCATTGAAGGAGTGTTGTAAAGTGCTCGCAGATCAATATGAACTAAAGACACTACATGTTTGGGGCATTTACTAAGTCAGTTGTGTTGAAGTACGTACACATATTAATAGTGGAATACTCTTTTGGGACTAGCCTAGGAGGTGCTTCTTCTTTAGCCATAGATGCATAGAATGTTTTTGTTAGCTCCATATGGGCTATATCTAGGCTTGGATATTGCCAACTACGGTTTTTATTGGCAGGGGAAACTGGGAATTTTTGAAGAGGTCAAATCCTACCGTATGTCCGCACCTTTGAAGCCATGGAGGTATATTCGATTATAAAGCCAGTCTCAGTTATAAAGTCATGGGCTTCATAAATAATTACATTTGAAGTAGGTTTTGAATTTAGATTGAAATTTCTGTGTGGACTTTGACTTTTATGACATGGCGTAGTGCGTGAGTCATTTTACATCTAGAATAGCTAGGAAAGCAGCAGTGTTTCGAATATAAGGCCATGGCTTTAAAGGCGCTGATATACAGTATATATAGGATTTTGAAAATTCTGGACACTCTTGCACGGGAAGGCCGGCCTGTTACAGAAAAAGTAAAGCCCTTGTGCTGGTGAAACTTGGCAGGCATCATCTCTGATAAACACGGAATGCAGAGGTTTTTGAAGAAAGAACTTTACTTTGTAAGGTATGATCTACTCTTTCCCGAAAATTGGGAAAAATCCTATATATATACTGTAGAGGCAGAAAAATTGGGAAAAATCCTATATACTGTAGAGGCAGAAAATGTCGTCGGTCAATAATTTCGTCCCCAACTCCAAAGAAAAGGAGTTCGTCCGGTTGAAAATTTCGTCCATGGATCATAAGAGTGTATAGAAAAGCAGGGCAAATCGACATTAGTCCTACATTTATTATTAACTTTTATTTTACTAGGGTGTTTCCCACAGACCTATGGTCTTCTTACGGGAGCCCCTAGGAAGGTTATGCATGAGCGAATAAATGAGCGGTAATCGGTACAAGTACGAACAGTGGAAGGCAGCATATTCCACCGGTCAGCAGCGAGATAGCCAATCCGAGAAAAGCCAGCCGTACTCTGTGCTGGGGGTAATGCCAAAGAAAAAGACACCTGGGATCTCGTAGTGGCAGTGGTGTGAGAGCTACAGCAGCGGCTGGTAAAGATTTCTTGAAGCAAAGAGCTGCATGTTCCGCTTTTTAATTTAGTCCAAAAGCTCCTTGGACGAAAAAGACGAAATTAAATTCCAGACTAATATTTCTGCTTGTACAGTATAGGATTTGACAGACAAAGAGATAGTCTTTATCGCCCTGTCATCTGAATATCAGTTACGTAATTATTAAATTTTTGTCGAGAATAAGTATGAATGTGCTTGTGTGTCATATCAATAGGTCGTGAGTGTGCAGGTTGGGCCGATCTATCAGGCAATATACATGCCCTTGATATCTACTATGGCCCCAAGCTGGCTGGCTTGAATTACACTGCAGCTCATCAATTTTGCTCCAGCCAAGGGATGCGCTTACCTCTAGCCACTGAGATGCGTTGTGCAAACCAATTCATGACTGAAACGTATGGCAGTGCAAGCCTTAGTTGGATTGAGACGCCGGAAGTGACTACTCGCGCAATCGTAAGCCAACTCCTCGAAAACCAACTCCTCGGTGAACAACTCCAGTATATACCATTCTCAACACAGTTGAAGATGGTAGCCTGCGCCAAGCCAGTCGTAAGTCAAAAATGCCTGTCAACCGTACATTATTGACAATTTTTTCTGCAATGATATGCCAACATCTTTGTACACATTCATACACCATCATAATATTATACTGGTACAAGCTGCTAAT